ATCGTGATGTGTAGCAGTATGCTATCGTGGCTAGTTTGTCACGGAAGCGACGTGTCTGCAATGAAGGAAATGTCGTTTATTATACATGTAATCTTACTTGATTAAAAGCCCTCGAGACTGTGGTGCTTGATGTTTCTATTCCTTTCTCGTCGTCTTTGGGCTTAGGCACTGCCACTGGGATCGAACCATGTTCTTGCAAAAATTGTGAAAATGATTTGATTTGACTCAGAAATTATGAGATTTTGCTCAAAAATAATCAGTACTTGTCGATTTGTGGAGCAAATCAACTTTGTAATTTTTTAAGGGCATGCCTGCGTCCGTTTCTTTATGTTTAAAATCGTGAGGAAGTGCCTGCAAAAACTTGTAAGACATCCACAGATTTTTGTGAACGTGGCTGACACCACGCCTGCTTCCTTGATTCAAAATAATTTTTTCGCTCACACCAACTCCCCGCCCCCTTCGCGAGAATCTCCTAAAGCGTCTCTGGTATATGGCTATAGTACATCAAAAGACTGTGAATGCATTCATTCCAAACCATTTTTGGATTATCATCCTCTCAGCAACTAAACGACAGCTAAGGTCAGCGCGGGAATCCGACGAATGATGATTTCTGACGATATTCGCCAACCATACCAACTTTTCAATACTGGAAGAAAAACCGCACGTCTTCGCCCTTTTACGAAGAATCAAGAAAACACTGAATACTTGTACAAAGAAACCGCACTGGAAACCAACCTAATGAAATAGAATTATGAAAATTTCAAAGAGTTCATCCGATGGAAGGTGCACCTCATAAAATCATGCTGTTCTGGAGGTTTATCCATTGATTTATCACGTATACTCTTTCCTAGTATCTTGCACGTTAAGGATTTTATGCTCATCGGTCTAAAATCGGATACATATGGGTCACTTTTTGGGAACAGCAGCGACAATGGCTTCCTTTCGGATATACGGTACTTCCCACAAAGGAGAAAGATGTGAAAATATGCTAGAGGGACAGGTAGCTTCTTAGCACATCGTTTGACTAATGTCTGTTGGTAGCCGTCGAAGGAGTCTGAGCAACGTACCGTATAGGGCATGATTGTGAGACTGGACATATATGCCGTAGACGTCGGATTTGCTGTTATTAGTAGTTGTTGAACTTGTGCTGCACAATCTAACTTACTCCTGCGCTTTGCAATCATCAGTCAGATATGTATCATCCTGCATATTTTCGACAGTTCCGAACCTTTTGGTTGAAGTGTTACTTCAGAGATAGCTGAAGAGATTCTTGGAGTGTTCGCACAAAGTTGGGCTTTATCACTTTCCAGGAACTGCTTCGGTATAAAATATGAGCAAACTTTCTTGAATAGGGAAATATGTTTTGCTTTAGGTAGTCTTTTTTTGCTGTAGAAGTGAACGAGGTGGGATAATTCAGGTTTTCTACTTTCTGCATATCAAACGGGATATATTCTGCCAACAATAAGATAGCTTACATGCAACGGTTTGTATATTTTAGAAAGAAAAAGCACAATACTCAAAGCATTCGTTTCATCTGATAGTATTGAGCTCATCTTTCATCGCTCAAGAGTCTACCTTGATAAATATGGGGTAGGCAAAAGTGCTCAATTTGGGCAGTTTTATGCACGTTTCCGATAGATTCCGATGCGCTCAACCGCTACGGCAAAAGTGGCAAAGGCGGGAGCTAACTGCCAGGCACGAGCACATTAGAAAACACAAGAAAAGAATAATGATCGAAAACGAAACAGATAGGCACCGAAGTGAGGCGCCGCTATACATAGCCTTATGGCTGGCAACGCGCCAAGGCGAGGAGAGGTCCGGAGGCGATTGCGGCAAGCGCGAGAAAGCACCGTAATCGTCGCCGGCTAGCGCGGCAGCAACCAGTGCTCCCGGTCTCCTACTTCTAGGAGCGCCCGCATCGCGAAGCCGCGACAGGACCGCTGCACGTTTGCCATATCTGAGCGCTCACTACTTCTTCTGAAGAACTCCGCAGCATTCACGGAGCCTAGATTTGGATTCAGCTCAACAGACGCATCCGTCGAAATGCGCTTCGTTCCAGATCGGCCCTGCAATTTGGGATCCTTCCTTAGTTAGGACCTACTAAACTTTATTCAAATTTATTTGTATGTCTCGGAAGGAAGGTTCGTTTGACGAATTGGACTTTCAACTCCCGTACCGCTTTAAAGAGCACTGAATGCCGATTTTAAATCTGTCTTGATTATCTGCCGAGCGCGTCCGCACGCCGAGTTATGAGTGTTTCTGGAGCAATAAATCGAAGCAGAACCTAGGTGAAACCAACTGTTACGGTCTTTTCAGCGCTCAAGTAGAGCAATATCGAGCAGAGTGTTGGGCAGAAGCTACTAATATTGGACCATTCAAGCAGTTCTGGACGAATTTGTTCTAGTTTGCACACTGAATTTTTTAATTCCAGAAACGCTCATAACTAAGCGTCCAGAGGCGTTTGGCAGATAATTAAAACAGATTTGGAACCATGTTTTATTGCTCTTCAAAGTGGTACAGGAGTCACGCAAAAATGTCCACTTTGACTTACCGGACTCCCCTTCCCCCTGTCAGAAACTTTTCTACGTTCATATGGGATGTGGTATTAGGTCGATGCATAATTCTTGCATAAAAGTTTTCGAAGTTCTGCTACTTTATCTAGATTCGATAAAATCTTTTGAGTAACAAGTGGTAGATAGAACAAATCTTGCGCTTTCTGAAGGCGCTTGAGACAAAATTCCTTGAGGGCATATGATAACTACATAAAGTGAATAAGATAAATATCCAAAAAGTCTTTGGGTCACTAAAATTGCTGAAACGTCTACTAGAATATAAATTTATTTCAAGTCTAAGTTTTATGACATGCTCTTTCTAACTAAGAGGAGTTGGTTGTGATTAGATATCTCTGCTAATAATTAGTTTGTTTTTTTTTGAACTGGCTTATTGATTTTGTTTCTGAGATGTGCTATAAAATACTACTTTTGACATACATAACAAAGAGCATATCCTTTGAGCTGATCAGCTTGTCTAACAATTCTTAAAATATTTTTTTCAATTTTTTTTGGTGCAATTGTGCATGAACCTAATGCAGTCCTCGTTCTCAAATTCCTCGTATTTGCATCTATTTGCACAGTATCTCACAATCAGATAAATTGATACTGCCTCTGCGTATGCGGAAGAAAGTCGGTGGTGCTTTCCGTCTAAACATTAGAAACTTCTCGGTTTCTTTCTTCAAAGAGATACAGGAATTTTTTGCGGAAAAAAATTACAATTCTTGTTACCGTTCGGAAAATCCGTAAATCGGTCCGTAACCCTCTGACGTAAGCGCTACCGCGCGCATTCCTTCCTGCACGCTGAATCTCGTACTCAAATAGATTATCAAGTGAACCGGTAATCCGCTTGACCTCTATCATTGTGCAACCTTCACTTCCGAGTTTTACCCTGTAGTGGTGGTCTCAAAATTCCAAAATATATGTCAATTTTTTTGTGATTTTCTGTTAAAAAAATATGTGCATAGTATCATGACATGACGTTCTTTAGAAAGTAATTTTATACTCCTGACCTAGGATTGATTGGAAATATTATTAAAACCCGTTTTGCAAATTCTCACTTTGACATGGTATAACTTTCTGAAAAATCTACATTTTTGAAATTAAAACCATTAATAGCAACAAACCTCCTGCAATACAGTGCACATTGATCTATGCTCAAATCACAGTTGGGCAGAAAAATATGGATTGAAAAACCAAAAAGTTTTTTCTAAACCCTTGTTCTTGACAGATCATAACTCTCTTCAAAGTTTATCAGTATAATAAGTTACTAATCTTGCAGCAGCAAGCCAGAAGGACAAAAGAAGATGAAAAGAGCTTGAACAATGAAAATTTGAAAAAAAATGAAACTGAAATCGAAAAATGTAGTTCTTTGCAATATTTTCTCAGTAACCCTCGAAGTTTCGAATTGTAGATATTTCCGATTTTTTCCGTACTGAACAGCTAAATGTTTTTGCTAAAACTGTCAACAGGATGCGCTACCCTTAAGGGTCGAGCATACTTCACGCGATTTCAGTCGCGATGCGACTTGGCAATATTCCAACTTTTCATAACTCACTGTAAACACCTTTCAGATGTACAGAAGAAGGGCATTTTATCAAGCCACGTAAGTTATACACACTATGCATGTGCTGTTTGCTAGTGTTGGATCTGAAGATTTTTGGCGAATTGCCAAAGCGCATCGCGAGTGAAATCGCGTGAAATATGTATGTACGGCCCTTCACGCTTACAGAAATATACAAAGCTTTGACAATTTCATTCTTCAGAAAGAAATTTATGAATGTAGAGTGACCGCAATGGCTATCCATGTTGAGGCGACGGATATCTCAGTCCTAATAGTTTCAAAGGAAATATTTAAATGTGCAAAATGTGACAATTTCTTGTACATACAGCAGCTAAATTTTTGGTGAAATCACGTTTATTTGCGCTTGAATACTTGCCAGAAAAATGATGCAATAAAATTCGGATTTTGTGAGATTATTTAAATCTCCGTAACTTTTCAACGGATGAGGCTAGAAGCGCGTTCAACCATCATTAGACAGAGGATGAGAAATGCTTCTCAAAAATATGCTGCTTTTATGTCGAAAAAATTATTTCGGTGCAGAAAAGTTGTTTTGAAAAAAGGCTTGGAAAAACGGCCTTTTTGCATCAACCTAATATATTCGAGCAAAAGAGATTTGAAAACCCTTGAAAACACTTATGCAAATGAAACGCATGAGTTACCAAAGCGTCTTTCTTTTGTACTGAAACGTGAAGGATCTTGTTGTCTGCGCAGTTTTTTTCCTTAACTTAAAAAGTTTCCTTTACACTTCCGTAAAAGCTTTTCGATTAATTTCGCGTCATCATGCTGCTGGTTCTTTGCCACAAATAATTTTTGAGGAAAGAGCCTCCTAACTATTCTTTGGCCTGTTGCTTACATTGAAAAGTTAATTTTTTAACTCGTTTAGGCTCATGTCGGATTACATGCATGGACGACTTCTGTCCACGCTGTTTCATCAGATGTTCGAGTATCAGCTTGAGGGGTAAGTTCGTTGGTAATCAAATCCAAAATCAACTTTGAAAAGCGATGTTATTAGCATTCAGCTCTGCAGATTCTTATTTCTAATAAACTAGAGATATGTTCAAAGGCTAATTTTTCGTTTTTTAGATCAATATCTTCTTGAAATATTGAGCCTCTGCCAAAAAAGCCAGATGTTTTCGCTGTCTTTTCTCGAGATATTCGTCAGTCGTGTGACTGCTATACCATTGGAATTGTAATCGGTCTTTTACACCTTGTTCTAGATTTATGACCTTCTAGAAAATTTCCAAGCAGTAAAACTTCATATATTCCATTGTCCGATGGATTTTACAGCTGAGGAGAATCATTACCGAACCTGGCTGAAATAGCTCTCGGACGATTACCAAGCCAGACTTATAACCATGTCTTAAATTTTGACTGGAATGGAATCATATCTTTCCATTAATCGCACATTTAAATCGTTAATCGGAACTGTTCCGACTGCTTTTTCTACCGGACATCCATGTAAGAACTGCATTTCTGAATTTTTCGAACAGCTGCAGATGTGCGAAGTACGTAAGCACCAGGGTGAGAATCTACGCTTCTTTTTGAAGTAGCGCAAATTTTTGAACAATAGGGAAATCTCAGGGTTTTCCCTCTATCAGAGTTGTTCTTTGCTAACTTCTCATCAATTCTTTCTTTTTTTCATTCATTCTTTTTCTTTTTTATACTTTTATCATCTCCCATTCTTTTTTCATTCATTCATTTTTTCTTTTTTATTCTTTTTTCATTTTCCTATTCTTTTTTTCACTCTTTCATTTCTTTCTTTTTACTCTAGGTTTGAAAGCTGTGATCATACGCACTTTCTTCTGTAGACTATTAACAAGAGACTATTTTTCAAGGAAAACCATCCAGGATCTCAAGCAGCATAGCATGTAAGGCGTCTAAACAGGACTCTCCTTAATATTCCTTCCGCTATCTATCGCAATTAGAAGATTTTCCACCTTATTCTGAGAAATTCAAGCATTTTCCCACAAACCCAAGAAAAACTGTTAAAAGAGGTCTACCGCTCTCAGCGCCAGATGTTCGCTGACTAATGAGAAGTGTTTTCGGGATCATAGATTCCATATGCGATCTGATCTTTGGACTTACCAATTTGTTCCTTCTCTATTTTTTTGGTTTAGAAACTACCGGCCTATTCTTGTATATGTTCAATGCGTTTATGCATTTGCAACTTCTATTGTTCTCTCAATGTGATGATTAGAGTTTTTTTTTTCAAAAATTGCAAATTTTCTGAAATTTCTGTCAGAAGTGCCACGATAACCACCTCATGTAATAGGTTTCGAAAGTTCTGCAGCAAATCTGTAGATTTCGTCTTTTTTAAGTCCTCGAAAAGTCGAAATTATGTATGCTTCTATTTTCATGATATGCCGAATCTATAGAACTGTCAAAAAAAGGAGAACAAAAGATTAGCTCAAGAAATTGGGTCATACAGCATAGTTTTTGACACTTTCCGGTTTTTTTTTTCAGATAATCTCAACCAAACAATCTGAGTTTGTTACATTAGAAGGAGATGCTTAAACAAATCTAATTTATAACATTAAGTGAATATTTCACATGGCATGCAAAATAAACGAGATCATATCATAAGGAACTTATCGGATAGCAACTCAATGCAGAAAATAAAATAAAATTTGAGTACATTTCAAAAAAGTGTTGCATAATTTGATATGTGCTTGAGTCAGCATTGTAAGCGATGAGAGTGATAAAAAATTTAAAGGGGGCGCAACAATCTGATATTATTTTTGAGTTAGGGGAAAAATGCGCTTCAAAATCATAGGGACATCTTGTGTAATCTAAAGATTTTTTACTGATTTTTTGTGACTTCAAGACCAAAATTTTTATGATCTACTGCATTTATAGCAGTGAAGTTTTCTATGCTTTCACCTACATTGATTTTCAAAAGTCTAGGTCTTTTTTAGAACATTTTCAGATTCTAAAATATTTTTCGATATTTCAGTAGCAGCTGGTAATGTTAAAAAAGTATAGTAAAAGAGTTATTACCATCAATTTGTAGATGAAATTCTTGTATATATGAGAAAAAGGGCCTTTTTATTCTTAGATATTTTTGGGTACTAGGTGGAGTTTCCAGTGCATACGAATGCTTTCTCCATTCCGACCATAATTGTTCTCATACGTATATAGTTTGCCATAAAGTTTATAGTCTGTTATAACATTGAGTTACACAAACACAAAAAAGTTATCTTTTTATCATCTCAAAAAATACTTACCTCTAACTTACTTCAGCGTAATCTATTTCACTTATGGTGTCACTACCAGGCGCCGAAGCTTTTTGTTCGTAGCTCACTGTCCATTTTTCTCTATTCATTGCGACCATATTTTATTCCCATTTGCGTTGCTCATCTACCAAGAATTATTCAGAGTTTTTCTAAGTAAAAGTCGTTCTGTCTAAGACGTGCATCAACTTCATCGCTTCAAAAAGAAGAGAAACGATAGCTACGCGAGAGAAGAAGAGATCGTTTAGCTCTTTTGGACATGAGTTCGCGTAAGCTATCAATGTTCCTCGATAGGAACGAGACCAAAACGTATGATATGGGAAAAATAACGTACAGAACAAAATTGGTTTCGAAGTCTTTTGTGAGTTGCATCCATTTTCAATTACATTCAATAAAGCTGTCCTTCATCGCTTCATGTCCCCTCCCTCCTTCCTCATCCCTCATGAATGTTCTAGCTAACCTATTGTATCAAGGTGTCCTACAATTTTTTTTACCGGTTTTTAGTTTCTCCCCAGTAAATCATATTTTTCTTGTGTCTCAAATGTGTTATGCAATACCAGTCGATAGAGCAAAGCAAGCTTCACAAGGTATCACTAAAACATTTGCTCAAAGCTCTTCTTATGTAGAATTCAAGCCAAAGTCTAAGAAGACCTAAATGTTTGCAAAGTCGAGAAAAAATCCTAACTCCTTTCAAAAAGTTTCTACAAACTTCCTACCTGCAAAGACATGCACTCACATCAAATATTTATCTCTTTGTTAATCTATTGCATGGCTAGAAATGGGGAAAATAATAATTATCATGATTTGCCAAAGCTGCGCTGGGCTGCTCCCACATAAGTGATTCCACAGTATGAACCTTTGGAAGTAAACTATGCTTGGGATTTTAGGGAGTAGTTTCTGAAAAATAACAAATTTAGCACGAAAATCCCCACAAAAGACAACTTTTTCGTATTTTTCTCCTTCTTGGTGTATGTGTACTTCTCAAGTCCTAGCCGTGGAAAATATAAGCAAATTCGCAGATAAATATCGGATGTAGAGAGTACATGTCTGAGCAAGTAGCAAGTCCGTAGGAATTTTTTAAGCGTAGATGTGGTTCTTTCTTGACTTTTAGGCATTTAGTTCTTTCTAGACGACTTCGAACTTGATCTAGAACAAACTTTGAGTATATTTTTGAAAAACAAGAACAATATGACTTATTACAGGAGAAAGTAATACGGTAAAAAAATCATGAGACACTCTAATATATTAGGTTGATGCAAAAGTTCTTTCGCACCAAATTCAAAAATTCATAACTTGTTGAATTCTTAACGAATCTGCAAGATCCAAATTTCGTATAAGAGAGGAACTCATGTTCTTTGCACATGTACCTGAATTGTTAACGTGTACAAATGAAGGAGGTAGAAGCGCAAAACCAAAATCACTCAAACTGTATTTTTCGTTCGTGTAGGGTCATAAAAAATCGGAAACTTACAACAAGAATCGGAGCAGACAGTATTGTAGGTTATTTTACCAGCTCTTTCTAACAGTGCGAAGTTTGCGCCGATTGAGCTTCTTTATGAAAAGTTACGATTTCCCTGAAAAATGCCAAAATAATCAAATTCGCCCTTTTGAACTGCTTGCTCAAAAATCGTAACTTTTCATGGAGACGCTCAATCGGCGCAAACTTTGCACCGTTAGAAAGAGCTGGTGAAATAACCTGCAGTACCGACTGCTCCGATTTTTGTTGCAAGTTTCCGATTTTTTATGGCCCTACACGAAAAATACAGATTTTGAGTGATTTTGGTTTTGCGCTTTAATCTCCTTCATTTGTACACGTTAACGAAACGTTCAGGTACATGTACAAAGAGCATGAGTTCCTCTCTTTCACAAAATTTGGATCTTGCAGATTCGTTGAGAATTTAACAAGTTAGGAATTTTTGAATTCGGTGCGAAAGAACTTTTGCATCAACCTAATATGTAACAGAAGCTCTCAACAATTATTGTTCATAGATCTAGCTCAGCAGGGTGAAAAAGTCAGGCAGTCGTTCTTTTACAGGAAAGGGAAAGGGTGTCATAGGATAGTGAGGCATAGCAACAAAAAATCTGTTGCCCTAAAGAAATTAAAAGTTTTCAGGCTACTTTATTGCTACCATTTTTTCCTCTCTCTCATCATTTCGATAAAAAAATTTTTTAACTCCTTTGAAAATATTCTAAGGTTGGTGCAATAATGTCCGTCATCAAAGTATGTGAATGTGAGAATAACGATGGAACACATTCGATAAAATGAAGCAAGCTCTACAAAGTGATAACCAAAGTGCTACCAAAGTCGTTGATTCATGCAAAGTTGAAGAGAAACTCTGTGAGATTTAGCCAGGCCAAAAACCAGATTTTTACCCGGAGGGATCCTCCCCCAAGTGGTCTCAAATAGTAGACACATAATAGCATTCATAATTTTGATTTAGTAAGTTTTCTTATGATTCAATCAGTTCGATAATCTTCATAATTTCTTTCCTCCAAAATTTGAGAAAAAACGTCAAATTATAAAATGGCAAACTCCGCCTCTAACTCCGCCCTTTCTTCTAACTAAGTTATCATGTGCTATAATATAAGGTGTAATGTACTATAAGGTTTCGGGAGCATCATTGTAGTATTTCAGCCTGGTAACCGCTCTAATATCTAAGAGAAGTTACTTTCAGCATTACGAACCCATAGACTACGGACATTATTTTTATACCAAGCTAATAACTCC